ACTAATGGGAAAGTGTATCTGCAAATTCACATACGGAGTGGCATCTGAAGAAAACAAAATCAGGAACTTACAATCACAAGGTTGATTTCAAATTGTATTTGTCTCATGAGATGTTAAGCAAATTATTGAACCTGTGTTACTTCTAAGTCTGTTTCTTCATCTGCAAATTAGGAACATCTTTCATTTACACTTTGACAATAATAATTAAATCAAAGAAGCAATGAAAAAACGTTGTTGTTAAATGCCGTTGAGTCAGTTCTGACCCATAGCGACCCTCTATAGGGTTTCCAAGGAGCAGCTGGTAAGCTTGAACCACAGACCTTGCAGTTCAAACAGCTTTGCAGTCTGACACATTAACCCACAGCGCCACACCAGGACTCCCAATGAAAGAATAAAGTGTAATATGTATTTATTTTTATCCAAATTTTCTACATAAACAGTAATTCCCATTTTCCCAGAATGTCTGTATTCAATGCCATTTTAATGCATTTCCCCAATATTTTATGAAACCATATTTTAAAGACATAATTAATTTCCCATTAAAGATAAAAAAACAAGCTTATTTTACAATGAAGTAGCAATATGATATTGTTTTGTTCAATAATATGATTCAAAGTAATTAAGTCCACTAACATTAGACTAAATCTATAATCTGGAAATATGTTTCTTTCAGTGCTATTTATAAAGTGAGAGCTATATAAAATTTTGAGTTAAAAATAAAATTTAAATATATCATTTGAAAATTGTATTCTCCAAAGGAAAAAAAACCAACATCCCCAAGGATAAAAATGTAAATATCAAGTCATTTACCAAATAAATAAATAAATTCAACAGCAATCGCAGAGCTAATGAAGGACTTGACATTGGAAAATGTTGCTATTGTCATAGCACAGAAGTTGTGTTTTGTTTTGTTTTGAAATTTATATGAAGGTAGCAAAATTTCCTTTAATATTTACCAGGAAAATATGTAAAGAAATGAAAAAGTTGGTTTATGTGTTCATAAAATTTTTTATTCTCTCATTTTAGAAAAGTTTTTAGATTTACAGAAAACTTGCAAAGACATTACAAGGTCTCCCACCACCGTCCCCTCAGCACCCTAATGACTTGGTTGTTAACATCATTTATTGACACTGACATTTGTTGTAGTAAATGAGCCAATATTGGTGCATTTATCAAGTGCATGTATATGTCAGATTTTCTTAGCTAACACCCATTTTCAGTTCTAGAATTACTTTGAATCATTGTATCTACTTAGGGTTCCTTTTCCATCTGGCAGTTTCCCAAACTTGTTTCCCAACTTGCTGGTTGTTCCAGGACTGGTCAAGCATTTTGTAGAATGTGTTTCATGTGGGATTTGCCTGATTTTTTGGTTTGTTTGTTTGTTTTTTCATAATTAGACTGGGGTTATTGGTTTTGGGGAGAAAAACCAAAGAAGTGCCATTCTCATTACATGTTATCAAGGGCATAGTATCATCATGGCTTTATATCATTGTTTACCTTCACCTTCATCACTGGGCTGAGACACCATTGGAGTTCTCCATTGCGAAGTTACTCTTAGCAATACATTTTAAATAAAGGTTGGATTGGAGATAAATATCCTGAACATTTACACTGAAATAAACAAAAACTGAGCAGATTCCTCAATGCTTCTATAATTCACTAGATGATTACTAATGAATGCTATGGGAAAATACAATGAAATGGAAGGTAAATGGTACAAATAAAACTTAGTGTTAGCTTGAATAGTTACTTGATGGGGGTGAAAACATTTTTTCCCCCCACATGAACTACCTGTGTAATTACCTTAAATCCTCTACATCCCTTGGTAATAAAGACCTTAGTCATATTGTCATGAGATCATTTAAATGGATAATCACTTTGCTGAGTGCTTTTCTAGATTGCCTTCCATTGAACCATCAACATTGAATATTGAAATCATGTAAAAGACTGGATACTTTTTTCTCCTGGCTTTAACCTATTTGTCACAAAAATGTTTCTTGTACATGATTTTTGTATGTTTGCTAAATATTTAAAGATAATTTTAATAATGTGTTTGATTTGGTAAATTTTATTACATTAAATGTGTGTAATTTTTTACTACCATGTTCACTGTATGTCATAACCTATATCCATATTATGGACGCCACCAAATCAGTGGACTGCGAAGGAGTTCTGAATGCATTACTACAATTTAAGAGGCTTGGTTATTTTGCAATGCCAGAATACCTGTAGGTACTCATAAACTGACTCGGTAATGCAGACTATTTTTCTTCAAATTTAAGTGTTTCTGGGCTTTTCTTTTCCCTTCCTTGAAACTATTTTATCTTTTTACCTATGTAAAATAGTAGACTTGCTGAAAATACTAGATTTTTCAACATGTAATAGAATTTGAGCATGATAATAATGTTAAGAAATTTCAGAAGTCTCACTCTAAGTATATTTTTTTGAGTTTTCAAAGTAAATCAAACTACAGCTGTTTTAATTGGACTATATTGTGGACATCTATGGATATTTATTGTAAAATGCATATATGCATTACATTGACTTTTCTTAAACTGTTTTGAATTAATAAAGATTTCACCAATGTATCCTTAGACAAGTTACTGTTTCTTCATTGATGTAATAGTTTGGAAGCAAAAGGTACACTTGATTATTTGTGTTACTCTAGCATTTTTATACATTTGAAGGAAAAGAAGAATTTTTGGTTGGATTCTTTATGGTGTTCTACAAGGTTATATTGCTTAACACAATTTTGTAGCTTTTATAAATAAGTATTTTTGAGATGACATGTTCTGAAAATTCAGCTTAGACATGTTATCACGTTGGTTTATATGTCTCCCAAAAAAACCCTTGTTTAGGCTTGGAAAATGAATTTACAAATAAGTATAAACAACCTGACCAATCCTGTTCTACTATAAGAACGAATTTTTAAAATAGTAATTTATTATAAACAATGTGTGATAGGTACCGCTATCCTAACAAGAAACAATTTTATAAAGCCATGTGGTCTGAAAGAACCCTGGTGATACAGTGGTTAAAGTGGTCGGGTAACTTGGTTAAACCCACCAGCCAATCCTGGGAAACAAACATGCAGCAGTCTCCAAAAGTTTACAGCCGGGAGAACCCTGAGGATGGTTCTACCTGGCCCTGGAGGGTGGCTATGAGTTGGAATCAACAGGGCAGCACTTGGTGCTGTGTCTGTGTGTGTGTTGGTTTGAATATGACTTCAGAATTAATACAATTGAGTAACTAGTTGGAGCTTTTAAACAGCAAACCTGTTTATGCTCTGTATTATTTGGAAAATTCTTTGAATAATATGTAGTGTGAAGGGAAGAACACAAGAACACAAGCAAAGTAAACTCCGTTTTAAACTATTTTATACTCTAGCTGAATAGTCTTTAATAAGTTTTAATCATGTTGGGCTTTTTTTAAAATAAATAATCAATTACAAACTGTCAACGATCAACACCAGAAACGCTGTTCAAGTCATAGGGACCCTGTATAGGGTTTCCGAGGAGCGGCTGGTGAACTCGAACCGCCGATCTTGTGGCTCAAACCTACTTTGCGGTCTAGTACTTACCCGACCGCGCCACACCAGTTAGTACACACTGTCACCCAGAAAGGTGGCGGGAGTCTGCAATGCTGTGGCATCCCTTGGGCATTCCTATCCTTTCCTCTGCGCTGTGAAAAGGTCCTCTGAGAATTGCTAAACATTATTCCGGAGTCCAAAGCATAGTGGTTAGGAATCGGGCTGTGAATCTCAGGGTCAGCAGTTCGAAACTACCAAAGAAATAAGGCTTTCTGCTCCCGTAAAGATTTACAGCCTCGGAAACCTCGTGCAGGGTCCTTATGAGTCAGAACTGACTCCATGGCACATCAGCACCATTCCGGAGTCCTGGTGTGATGCTGTGGGTTAATGCATCAGACTGCAAAGATGTTTGAACTGCAAGGTTGGTGGTTCAAGCTCACCAGCTGCTTCTTGGAAACCCTATACAGGGTCATTATGAGTTATGGGTCGGAACCGACTCAACCGCACTTAGCAACAACAATTCTTCCTAGGGTGCTGTGGTGCTGAAGGGTTCCAGTCATGATGGGGCAGAGGGGAGAGGAATGGAGGAAGGGAAAGAGGAGGAGGGAGGAGGCTTTCTCTTTCAGTCTTTGAATCACTCGGACACCAAGGATGACATCTAACATCAATCCAAGACCTGCAGGCTTTCTCGCGCTTTCTGCCTTCCGCAGTTGGAGCGTGCAGTCAGGAGGGAATCTCTCCTAACAAAGACTGACCCTCACTAGCCGTGTGAGATGGGCCGGCAGGTGCCTCGGCGACCAAGGGCACAGAACGGGCGGGGTGTTACTGGGTTCCGACTGATAGGACCCGGTCGAGGGTTTCCGAGGAGCGGCGGGTGGGTTTGAACCGCCGACCCTGAGGTCAGCAGACCAGCGCTCATCTGACACGCCAGGACAGGAAAGCTGACTCTGCAGCACCACCTGACAATACGCTTCACAGCCTCTCACGCGCTTCAGGACCGGGGTCCGGAGAGAAGAGCGAACCCACACACTTCCTGGTGGCTCAGGCCAAGGGCCGGGGTGGCTCCGGAGAGGTCTTCGGTGGCCGTAGCGGACACTAGGCTTCCCTCCACTACGTATCCAGAACTCAGACAGCAGAAGAGAGTGGTAGCTGACGTCAACTGTGGCCCGCGTCGCCGCCGTCCTAGCGGGAAACCATTCTGACTGTTCCCAGTTGCCCTAAGTCCTTCGACCCCTACGCACCCACCAGTCCCGCCCCTTCCGCTTCCCGTCCCGGCCTCTCGCCGCCGCAACTAATCAAATGCTTTACGCAGACCGGAAGTTCACGAAGCTTCCGATAGACCGTTTAAACTCAACATGCGAGTGGGAGGGGCGTGAAGAGATCTCCCTCGTTTCCACCTCCGCGTTACATTACGAGATTTTGGGCCTATCCACAACTTCCGACTTGGTCTGGCTGTGCGGCGCGTATCACTATGCTGACCGGGCTTCTGTGGGCGGCAGCTCGGTGCCTCTGGTCCCGCGGGGCTACTGGCCCGGCCCGCCGGTCCCTGAGCTATGGAAGTCCGCCGCTGGAGGAGCTGTTCGCCCGCGGGGGGCCACTGCGGACCTTCCTTGAGCGCCAGGCTGGGCAGGGGCAGGCGAGGGGCCCCGAGCTGGCGGCGGTGGCCAGACTGTTGAGCGAGAAGGAGCAGGAGCTGCGGGAGACCGAGGGCTTGCTGCAAGGTATGGCAGGACCCGCGGAGCCCAATTCGTGCAGTGGGTCACCGCCCTCCCCCGGGAACCTTACCAGAAGCCTGGGTTCCGATGTCTGCGAATCCCGCGGAGCGGCGGGCGCACTACAACCACCGACTTTGTGGTTAGCAGTCCCGTGCTTATCTTACGGAACCACAAGGACTCCGCAGAAGCCGTGTTGTTAAATGCCGTGGAGTTGGTTCCGAGGAACAGCTTGTTGTTGTTAGGTGCCGCCGAGTCGGTACCGACTCATAGTGACCTTATGCATAGCAGAACGAAATACTGCCGGATCCTGGGCCAACCTCACAATTGTTGCCACGCTTGAGCCCACTGATGCTGCCACTTGGCCAACCCATCTCGCTCGGGGTCTTCCTCTTTTTCTCTGACCCTCCACCTTACCAAACATGATATCCTTATCCAGCGACTGGTCCCTTCTGACAATATGTCCGAAGTATGAGAGACGAAGGTTGGCCATCCTGGCCTCCAAGGAGCCCTCTGGCTGCACTTCTTCCAACACAGATCTGTTGGTTCTTTTAGTAGCCCATGGCACTTTCAACATTCTCCTCCAACACCATAACTCAAAAGCATCAATTCTTCTATGGTCTTCCTTATGCACTGTCCAGCTTTCACATGCATATGAGGTTATTGAAAACACCATGGCTTGGGTCAGGTGCACCTTAGTCCTCAAGTTGACATCTTTGCTCTTCAACACTTTAAAAAGGTCTTGTATAGCAGATTTGCCTAATACAATACTCATTTGATTTCTTGACTACTGCTTCCATGAGTGTTGATGGTTGAACCAAGAAGATTGAGTTTTTGACAACTTCAGTCTTTTCTCTGTTGATAAGAATGTTGTTTATTGGTCCAGTAGTGAGGATTTTTGTTTTGCTTACATTGAGATGCAATCCAGATTGAAGGCTGTGGTCTTTGATCTTCATCAGTATTTTAAGTCCTCTTTCAGCAAGCATGGTTGTATCTTCACTTTCAACAAGCAAGGTTGTATCATCTGCATATCATAGGTTGTTAATGAATCTTGCTCCAGTCCTGATGCCACGTTTTTCTTCATATAATCTAGCTTCTCGGATTATTTGCTCAGTATACAGGTTGAATAAATATGGCGAAAGAATCCAACCCTATCACACACTTTTCCTAATTTTAAAGCATTCAGTGTTCCCATGTTCTGTTCGAACAACAGCCTCTTGGTCTGTGTACGGGAGTGGCTAGTGGATTTGAACTGCCTATCTTGTGGCTAAGCTAACAGTCGAGTGCATATCCTACAGCAGCTCACTAGGACCCCACAGAAGCTTTAGTGATGTTTATTTTCAATTTTAATCGCAGATGATTATGATAGAATTTTAAATTGCTTATGTGTAACATTTGCTGCTCTTAAGATAACTAGTAAGGTTACATATGGAGTCCTGGTGTGGTGCTGTAAGATAATTACAGGATCACAAGGTTGATGGTTCAAACCTCCCAGCCATTCCTCCAAACAGTATACAGGGTGACTGTGAGTCTGAACCTACTCGCCATCACTTAATCAGCACCGTTATAATTCAATGTTAAAAGTGTTTACAAAATTTTGTTGTTAGTAGCATATCAAAGATTATGTCAATGATAGTAACAAATTCTTTTGTAAATACTTTCAATATTGACTTATAACATTGCTAGTTACATTTGTAGTAACTGAGTTGTTGTTAAATGCTTTCCAGTCGGTTCTGACTCCTAGCAACCCTATATAGGGTTATCGAGGAGAAGCTGGTGGATTTGAATCACCAACCTTGAGGTGCAAGCCAATCTTGCCGTCCAGTAGCACCACACCAGGCCTCCATCATTCCCAAAAACGTTACTGACATTACAAATAGTAATTAGCACGATATTGTACCTAAAACACCAGGAAATTGGACAAAATCAGCAACTATAAAACAACCACAACAAGGAAAATAGTAACAACAAGTGCTTGTAGCTGTGCATGTGAAGTCACATGATTCCTTGTAGTAATTGGGTAATAATGACAGATCTGGTGGCATAGTGTACTCTAAAGGGCAGCAGTTGGAATCCACCACCGCTCTGTTGGAGAAACATGAGGCTTTCTGCTCCTGTAAAGATTTATAGGAGTCCTGGGGATGGTTCTGCAGGGTAAGTACTGGACTGCTAACTCTAAGGTCGACAGTTCAAACCCACCAGCTGCTCCTTGGAAACCCTATACAGGGTCGCTATGAGTCGGAACCAACTTGACAACACTTAACAACAACAAAGATTTACAGCATTGGCATTTACATAGAGAGTCACTGTCAATCCAGATAGATTGCACACCACCACCAACAATGACAGTTCTGGTCTGACTGCATGAGAAGGTTCAAAAATGAAAATAGCCTAGAGCGCACTTGGGGAGAGAGAAATAATTCTATATTCTACTTACAGTGCATCTGAAATAAGAACAAATAAGTGAACAAAGACCTAGAGAACCAGGAGAACTTCTCAGGAAGGCTTTGCAGAGGGGTGAGAGATCATCCTTATAGAATTCTGATGTTAAGCGCATAGCGACCCTGTGCACAGCAGAATGAAACTGACCGATCCTGCACCACAGTTGTTACCTTTGAGCCCTTTGTTGCTGCCTGTATGCTAATCCATCTCATTTCAGGGTCTTCCTCTATGTCTCTGACTCTCCATTTTACCATGCATGTTCTTCTCCTGACATGCCCAAAGTATGAGACAAACTCTCAACCGACCTTGCTTTAAAGGAGTATTCTGGCTCTACTTCCCAGACAGATTTGTTTATACTTCTAGCAGCCTGTGGTACTTTCGTTGTTCTCTGCCAACATCATAATTCAAATTATGAATTGTATTATTACATCTATTCTTCTGCGGTCTTCTATATTGATTGTCCAATTTTCAAATGAATAGGAGGCAATGGAAAGTACCATGACTTGGGTCTGGCATACCTTAGTCCTCAAACTGACACCTTTGCTTTTGAACACTAAACACTCGTCTGCAGCAGATTTGCCGGTACGCTACCTCATTTGAGATCCTTACTGCTACTTCATGAGCACTGCTTATGGATCCAAGCAAAATGAAGTCTTCGGCAACTTCAGTCTTTTTTCCATTTATATGGATGTTGATTATTGGTCCAGTTGTGAGGATTTTTGTTTTCTTTACATTGAGATGCAATCCCTACTAAAGACTTGTAGTCTTGGACCTTCATCAGAAAGTATTTTAAGTCCTCTTTGCTTCCACCAAGAAGGTTGTATCATCTGCATATCGCAGGTTGTCAATGAGTCTTCCTTCAATCCTATTGCCACATTCTTCATGTAATCAGCTTCATGGATTGTATGCTATCTGCTCAGCGTACAGATTGAACAAATATGGTGAAAGAATACAATCCTGGCACACACCTGGCCTGACTTTAAACCACTCACTGTCCCCTTGTTCAGTTCGAACAACTGCCTCTTGTTCTATGTACAGATTCCTCATGAACATAATTGAATATTCTTAAGTATCTACTCATTGTAATTTTATCCTTAGCTTGTCATGATTCACATCGTCAAAAGGCTTTCCATAATCAGTAAAGCACAAGCAAACATCTTTGTGGTATTGTTTGTTTTCGGTCAAGATCCTTCTCATGTCAGCAGTGAGATCCTTCGTTCTATGTCCTCTTCCGAATTGCTGGCCGTTCCCTGTTGATGTACTGTTGCAGTCGTTTTTGAGTTATCTTCTGAAATGTTTTAGTTGCATGTACTAGTGAGTGATATTGTACGATGGTTTCCACATACCACTGGGTCACCTTGAGACAGGGAAAGGAGATCCGTAAGTCAGACTTCACCGTGAGTCACACTGATCGATTATTACTGAGATCCTGAGGCATGTTGAAACCTGATCCTCTCCCTGTGTGAGCAGTTGTAAAGATGTGCAGGACATGCCCAAGGTGCATAGCTGAGCAGCCACATTCTGGGACATACATTAAAAACCACCAGAATAATTCCCTACTTTATGGGACTAACCATTAAGGAAGACCACCCATAATAATTCCTTGTGAGATATTTGACAGATCCAACTGGTTTACCTAGTGCCCCAGGCATACTTGTAAAAGACAAACCTTCTACTAGGACAAAGGTGAATGCCAGCCCCTGGAAGGCAACTGAATTAGGATTCCAGAGAAGCACGCATGCTCGACATCCCAGAATAAGTTCTGTCTGCTCACACCAGAGGCCTTTGTGGTGGATCCATCTTGAAGACATGCTGTCCACAGACCCTCCTGAATGGGCTGTTTCCTGGAAATCACCCTCTAGCCCAATGCATAAACATGTCTTTTCGCTACCAAAAACTTATCAAACGGCCAGAGAAGTCTTTGTTCAGAGAGACAGCATTAAGCCTTGTGTTAGCCCGCCCCATCACTGCTTGTAAGCCTTTGTCCTCAAATAAACTTCTGCTCATATGGAAATCTGCCTCACCTGACTGTTATTATTCAGTAGAAGGCAAGACCTCTTGACGTGCTTAGCCAAGGATGGCAGTCCCTGTACTAACTTCTCTTTGAAGTGGGCACAAAAATGGATCTCTTCCAACAGGTGGGCCAGGTAGTCGTCTTCTAAATTTCTTGTGCTTCATTAGTTTATTGAAAGATTTTGATTTGTATTCTATCAATCCCTGGAGTCTTGCTATTTGCCATTGGCTTCAGTGCAGCGTGAATTGCTTTTCTCCCTTCAGTACCATTGGTGCTTGATCTTATGACATCTCTTGAAATTGACCGTTGCTTTTTGATACAGTGACTCTATGCCTTCTGTCTTCTTTGTTGCTTTCTGCATCATTCAAGATTTTGTCCATTGTTGTTGCTGTTAAGTGCTTTCCAGTCAGTTCCGATTAATAACGACCCTGTAGATGGTTTCTGAGAAGTGGCTGATGAGATTGAACTGCTGACCTTACAGTTCAAACCAACCTTGCAGTCCAGTGCATTAACCCGCAGCGAGCACCACACCAGGACTCCATTATGTCTATAGAATCCTTCAGTATTGCAAGTCAACGCTTAAAAATTTTCTTCAGTTCTTTCAGCTTGACAAATGCTGAGCATGCTCTTCCCGTGTGTTTTTCTAACTCCAGATCTTTTTGCATATTTCTTTATAATATTTTTTCCATTTGCTTTAACATCTCTCTTCTGACATCCCTTTTGGTCTTTTCCTACCTGTGTTTTTAGTGATCATTTGCTTCTCCATGTATGATCATGATGTCATCCCACAGCTCTTCTGGTCTTTGGTCATTAGTGTCTAATGCATCAAACCTGCTCTTGAGATGGTTTCTAAATTCAGATGGGATATGTTTAAGGTCATATTTTGGCTTTCATGGACTTGTTTTAAATTTCTTCAGCTTCTGCCAAACTTGCATATGAGCAATTGATGGTCTGCTCCACGATCGGCCCCTGACCATGCTTTGGATGATGATACTGATCTTTTCCCATAGATGTAGTCAGTTTGATTCCTGTGTTTTCTTTCTGGTTAGGTTCATGTGTATTGTTGTTAAGTGCCATCAAGTCAGTTCAGACTCATTTTGTTGTAAGTGTGGTCAAGTTATTTCTGACTTATAGCGACCCTATGTAGTGTTTCCAAGGAACAACTGGTGGGTTTGAACTGCTGACCTTGTGGCTCTCAGTCCAGTGCTGATCCTAGTTTTTATGTTGTTTAAAAATGGTATTTTCAATGACTAAGTCATTGATCTTGCAAAATCATGGGATCTCCAGCATAATTTCTATCACCAAAGACATATCTTTCAAGTACTGATCCTTCTTGGTTTCCAACCTTTGCATCCAATCACCAGTAATTACTAATACCTCTTGATGGCCTGTTTGATCAATTTCCGACTCAAGAAGCTGGTAAAATGTTTTAATTTCATCATCACTGACTTTAGTGGTTGGTGCTTAAATTGGAATAATAGTGGTATTAAGCTGCTCTTCCTTGTTGTTAAGTCTTGTCTAGTTGATTCTGACTCATAGCAACCCTGTATAGGGTTTCTGATGCTGTAAATCTTTACGGGACTCGAAAGCCTCATCTTTCTCCCATGGAGTGGCTGGTGGAGTCAAACTGCTGACTTTGCCATTAGCATCCCGATGGGTAAGCCAGTACGCTGCCAGTTCTTCCCAGTAGGCACGTGGATATTATCCTATTATAGACAGCATTGTACTTCAATACAGATCGTGAAATATTCAACGATGAATGTGATGCCTTTCCTCTTGAATTTGCCATTCCCACCATAGTAAACCAAGTGATTTGTCAGATTCAGAATGGTCAATACCAGTTCATTTCAGCCATTTTTGACAACTTTCAATTTTCTTAGATTCATACTTCATATATTCCATGTTCTGATTATTAATTGATGTTTACAGCTGTTTCTTCTCATTTTGAGTTGTGCTGCATCAGCAGATGAAGATCCCCGAATCTTTACTCCATTTTCGTCATCATGGCCAACTCCACTTTGAGAAGTCAGCTGTTTTCCAGTTGTATTCTTCCAGCCTTCCAGCCTCAGGGGCTCATCATCTGGCACTATAGCTAACAAAGTTCTGGTGATAGTCAGAATGTTTTCATCTTCCGGCACTTATGTCTGAGTGTTCCGCTACTTGGGTTTTCAGTGACGAGACATTCAGAAGTAGTCTGTCTCTTCTTTTTCCTAGTCTGTCTTAGTCTGAAAACTCTGCTGAAACCTGTCCACCATGGGTGACCCTGCTGGTATTTAAAATACCAGTGGCATAGCTTCCAGAATCACAGCAACACAAGCCATCACAGTATGACAAACTGACCAATGAGTGCTAATCTTTGATCAGTAAGTATTTCAAGTTCTCTTTACTTCCAGCAAGCAAGGTTATGTCATCTGCATGTATCGGGTTGTTAGTGACTTCCTCCATTCCTAATGCCACGTTCTTCTCAGCATACAGATTGAGTAAATAAAAATTGGAAAGAGAAATTTGGCCTTAGCCTTACTCTGCCTGGTGATATGGAACTTCTCCATCATCTCTTTTCACAGATGGAGTCAATTTGATTCCTATATACTCTACCTAAGGAGCTCTGGTGTGTAGTGGTTAGGAGTCGGGCTGCTAACCTCAAGGTCAGCAGTTTGAAACTACCAGCTGTCCGTGGGGGGAAGATGAGGCTTTCTGCTCCTATAAAGATCTACAGTCTCGGAAATCCTGTTCAGGGTTGCTAGGAGTTGGAACCAACTCCACGGCATACCACCACCACCACCATACTCTACCTGGTGAAGTCCTTGTGTATAGGCACCACTTACGTTGTTGTTGTTACGTGCCATCAAGTCAGTTCTGACTCATAGTGACCAGTCAGTATAGGGTTTCTGAGGAGCGGCTGGTGAGTTTGAATCACTGACCTTAACGGTTCAAACCAACCTCAATGTCAAGTGCTTATCCTCTGATGCCACACAGGACTTCATACCACTTACGTTGTTGAAAAAAAATGTACTCACAATGAATATGTTACTAGTTTTGCAAAATTCAGTCATAACAATTTCCTGAGTCATTCCTATCTTCAGCATTAGTGGTTGGTGCGTAAATTTGAGTAATAGTTGTATTAATTGGTCTTCCTTGTGGCTGGATGGATATCATCCTAACACTGACTGCATTGTTCTTTAAGACAGGTTTTGAAATGTTCAGCTCTCACTTCTGGCCTAGTAGACCGTATGATTTCAATTCAAAGTGACCAGAGCCAATCCACTGCTGCTCACTAATGCCCACAGTATTGATCTGCATGTGGCCCATCTTATTTTTATGACTTCCAATTTTCCTAGATTCTTATTTCATACCTTCCACATTGTGATTACTAATGGATGTTTGCAACTGTTTCTTCTCATATCGAGCTATGTCAGATCAGCAAATGATGGTCCTGAAATCTTGACTCCATTCCCATCACTAAGGTCAACTGGACTTGGAGGAAGTAGTGGTTCCCTTACGTTAGTTTGAGTCACTTCCATCCGCAAGGGCTCATCTTCTGGCACTGTGTCAGTGTTCCACTGCATTCCAAAAGGTTTTCACTGACCAAGTTTTTGTTAGGATAGATTGCCATGTTAGAGTAGAAGCTCCGCTGGAACCTGTCCACCATAGGTGACCTTACTGGTATAGGACATACACATGGCATTGCTTCCAGCACCATAGCAACAGGCAAGCCACCCCAGTACAACAGACTGACAGCCAAGTGGTTTGTGTTCATGCAGTAGGACAAACATGAGACAGGATATTTTGTAAAAGCTCAAGGATTATGGTAAACAGGAATCCTGATGTAATGCTGTAAGATACACTCTGGACTGGTAAGCACAAAGTTAGCAGTCCAACCCACCAGTCACTCCTGGGAAACTCTATACAGGGTCTGGCTATGAGTCAGAACCGACTTGACAGCACATAGTAGCAACAACAGACTAAACAGGAGAGCGACAACAAGTTCCAGCACGGTAACATTCTGTAAGCAGAGTCAACATGTCTGGGTGTGGCCATCTAGGCTCATGAATCATTAATAGCTTCATAAATTAATAATGAAGCAATAAATAACTTGTTGCAGTTATTTCAGTTTGGGTTTAAATGATGGCGTCTGGTCTCTTTTTGGTCTTTCTAGCTCAGTGCATTCATTTGTGATTGTACAAATCTAAACTGGAACACAAAAAAACATATATTTCAAGGAGATGAGAGTATAGAAAAAAATACTACTTTATGTTTTCATTTTTTAATTATACTTCATCAGAAAAAAGCAAATTTTGTATGTAGCATGTTTATGAAGACCAATGTATAAAATGCTACTTTTAATTAATGGAAATTTTAATTATTGGAAATCTTAAGATGCAGTAAGAATCTATTACTTTGGATTCTGTTGGCAATCTTAGTACTAATGGAAAACTTAAGCTGGCTGCCTTTTTTCATAGATGAAAATGAAGACTTAAGGAAACTTGCAGAGAATGAAGTAACATTGTGTCAAAAAGAAATAACCCAACTGAAACATCAGGTATGACGCCTGCAAAGCAGAAAGCACTGTGCTATTCTAATGCATTTGATTAGATGTTTCTAAGAAACAATTCAAGGCAAAATTAGCTTGTTTTCATTTAGAATAAAAGAGTGCTTTCCAAAGCAAGAAAAACCATACTTGGGGTTTTGTTTTAATTAACAGCAAAAAGAAGGTTAGTAATGTTACGTTAACGTCTGTGGGAAAGACAAGTCAGCTATTGGCATGTTGCTCATCACTCTTGTTTTAACACAAGTAGGGGCAGCAGGGAGTGTGGCTGGAGCAGCTTGGCTCCTCTGAGGAGGAATAGCTCAGGCACGGTCTGAACGCCATAGAGTGCGGCGGTGTTTGTTAGATGCTGTGGAGTCACTTCCAATGCGTAGCACCCAGGACAGTAGGATGAAACACTGCCCGGTCCTGTACCATCCTCACAGTCGCTGCTAAATCTGAACTCATTGTTACAGCCTCTGTGTCCATCCAGAAACTAAGAGATGGAAAGTCGTAACATCCAACATGAAGCATGATAGTTGAGAAATCAAGTCGACTTGGGTTCTAGCTCTTCCACTTGCTGCTGCTGCTGCTGCTGGTGGTGGTAATGTGCCCTGGAGTCGCTTGTTGGATATTAGGCAGATTGGTTACTCATTCCACAACTGGGTGGCTTTAGCAAACAGAAATGTATTGTCTCACAGTATAGGGTGCTAGAAGCCTAGTTCAGAGCCCCTCTGGTAATTCAGGAGTTACAATCAGGCTGCCAACCTCAAGGTCAGCAGTTCAAAATTATAGCAGCTGTTACGTGGGAGAAAGATGAGGCTTTCTGCTCCCATAAAGAAACTCCTAAAACTAGTGATTTCAGGCACACCCTACACCAGCCTGTCTTATTAAAGTAACGAAGAACCCCATTCCTAAATGGATTATAACCACACTTAAAGGGTTAGGATTTACAGTACATATTTTGAGGGGACACAATTCAGTCCCAGTTGTTAGGTGCCATCTAGCTGAGTGGAGTCCAGTCGGTTCTGACTCCTACCCTCTAAGCTTAGTTTTCACAACTTAAGGTAAAACCTTAAAAGTATCAACCCAAGATTATTTTAAGATTAGAAGGACATTAGAGACCTTGTGTCTCCGAAGAAGGATCAGCACTGGACTGCTAACCACAATGTTGGTGGTTCAAACCCCTCAGCTGCTCCTGGGAAACCCTGTCCAGGGTCACTGAGACTCAGTGGACGGTGCTTACCAACAACAACAAAGGACATCAAGTACCTGGCGTAGGTTAAGAAACCACTAAATGTTGGTAACTTTCTTAATAGTTTACCTTTTCTAAGCCGTTTTCTATGTCTTCTTAACTAGCACCCGGTACATCTGTGTTAAACGTTGGTGGAATGCCAGGAGGACTGAGCTGGGAGGCCAGCGGCTTGTGCCTGTTGCTAGCACTTTGCCATTGATCAAGTCAGCTAATAACTTCCCTCAGCCAGTTTCTCTTACCTGGAAAGTGAGGATTAGACCAGATTATCAACAAGGGATCTTTCGGTTCCAAAATTGCTAGTTTCTTTTCTGTATTAAATAGTTCTTTAAAAAATGTATTTGAGTGCTTTTGCTTTTCTGTTGAAAGCCTTATATTTCAGGAGGATAGAGATAGAATCTTGCATTGATTTTGCATACATTATAGTATCTATCTTAATCAACTCAATAGCACTTAACAACAACAACAACAACTCACCACAAAGAGTCCTGGTGTGACACTGGGTTAATGTGCCAGACTGCAAAGCCATTTGAACCTCAAGGTCAGTGGTTTGAGCTCACCAGCTGCTCCTCAGAAACCCTATACAGGGTCACTATGAGTCAGAACCGATTTGATGGCAATTAACAACAACAACAACTTACCACAAGCACTTCATTTTTATTAAATGAACGGAGAATTCATATACATGAACTCAAGAAAGAAAGAAAAGCCTACAAGCTTTAGCTGAGCCTACGTTTATAATATTGTTACAACATTAATATTTTCTGGAAGTGACACATTAACTTTTGTGTAAGAGTAAGAGCGCTAGAATTGTTCAGACTCTGCACTGTTGTTTGAAGTGTCGTGGAGCCTGTGGACATTAGTAGGTACAGTCAGTGAGTGAGCAGCCATACGCTTTTGGGGCCTTGTGCTTCTGAAGCGCCAAAAATGGAGCTAGTTTTACTATTCCATATTTAATAAGCTGCATCCTGTTTTGTTCCTCTTGTAGCAGTGGATAAGTAATGGCATTTCGGTTGTGAGGAGCAAGTCATTAGGTAGTACCAAGTTGACATCATTGTAAGATATATCACACACATTCCCCATAATGCAGCTCAAGTAGCAGGGCGGCATGGCAACAGAAATGGGTGGGGACTTTTTTTTTGACAAATTCATGTTCACACTAGCTCTGGGTATAGAAACCTTTACTGGGTAGGTACCTACAGCGGTTCTTCAGTTGGTATTGGGACACTTCGTGCATGCAGACATAGTTCTTAATTACAGGAGGGACGGCGTTTTTGTATTTACAGATTATCTTGCTCTTGGTTCCCTCAGAAGAAACGGATGAAAATGATTTGATCCTGGAGGTAACTGCAGGAGTCGGGGGTCAGGAGGCAATGCTGTTTACTTCAGAGATGTTTGAGATGTATCGGCAGTATGCTGCATTTAAAAGGTGGCAGTTTGAACCTCTGGAGTATGTTTCAAGTGAACTAGGTCAGTAGGCGCATTTGATTTGTTTGGGCTAAAAGGGCCAGAAAGACCAGTGCTAGGCTGAAAGCTTGTGCTGAGTAAGAGCAAAGATGCTTTACGTTCCTGCTTACCCTTCACCTCTTAAGTTTCAATGCAAACATACTGATTTTGAAGCGGACACTAAAAGTTAAGCATTCATTATCACTTAATCATTGAATGACTACTGGTCTTTGAAAACTACTCTTTTCAGTCTCTTACTGAATCAGTTACTAGCACTTTGCATGTCCGATGTTTCCAGTCAGCCATAACAACACTGGGCAGTAAAATATTGTTAGAGACTTGCTCAGATGGCTAAGTTAACACAGTGCACAGGCTGTATCCTTGCATGTTATTCTTTTGTGCTTCTTTTAAATGCATTTCTAGATACTAGAAGTGATGGCCAACCATTTATAAAAGGCAGGACTAACAAGAGGATTCCCTTTTCCCTCATTTACCCAGGGGGCCTGAGACATGCTTCTGTCAGCATTGGGGGTGCAGATGCCTATAAACACATGAAATTCGAAGGGGGGGTGCACAGAGTGCAGAGAATACCCAAGACAGAGAAGCAAGGTCGCATCCACACCAGCACCATGACCGTAGCCATCCTACCCCAGCCAACCGAGGTAAGGCACAAGCATCTCCTGGTGTGGCTCTGTAGGGTTGGTGATTCAAAGCCCCCAGCCACCCTTTGGAAACCCTATACAGGGTCACGGGGAACAGAACTGACTCCATAGCACTTAACAACAACACCAGAGGTGAAGGACAGGCGTCTCCCCGGGGCTAGTCCAGTTCCTGCCCCCCAATTCACATACTGTCTTAGTGATTGGAGTATCTCCTTGTGACTTGGCCCTCCTGACATAGTTTTGAGTTGGGGTAGCAAATGAAGGAGTCTAAAGGGCAGGAGCTACCACATCTAGACACTGGTCACTTTAGGTAAAGGTGGAACCTGAGGTCCATCTATGGTCTCCTTCAGTCCTCTGTCAGCTCTGGGGGAGCTAGCAAGCAGCCAGAACCCCTGTGCAAGGTGAAAACCTGTCAGAAGGCAAAACAATAATTTTCAAAAAAGGAGCAGTGTTGAAGTGAAAAGACTGCACCCTGTCAATGGCAGAAAACCACGGCAGTTCAGCCGAGTGCCAGCCCTCACCGGCTTCACTGTGTTTACAGGCGAACAGTAGGTTTCGTCTTGAAACAGTTGGTATGCATAATTGTTTTAATCCCAACTTTTCTCACAAACAGATTAACCTGGTGATTAACCCCAAAGATCTGCGGATCGATACGAAGCGAGCCAGTGGGGCCGGGGGCCAGCACGTGAACACCACTGACAGTGCTGTCCGCATAGTTCACCTTCCAACAGGTAAGCACCTGGGCCTTCAGAATGAGGCCCAGACAACTAAACACGGGTGTTCATGACTTGATTCATCAGACTCATCCTTCACTGAAGAACTTAGACTAGGCAGGAACGGCTTGGCTAAGTGTTGTCTCCCAGTGACGTCATTATGGTAGGTTTCTGCATCATAGCTTGGTCTGTAAGTTGCTGAAGGAGGGGACATGAGCCCTTAGAGAGAATGCAGGGTTTGGGTTTGTCCCTAGAAATGTACATAAATAAATGCAGCATTTTTCATATGATTTCAGGGTTTGTTTCCTCGTGGAGATCTGGGTCTAGATCTTAAGCAGCGGGGCAGTGATGAAATGTTTATTAACCCTTCAACATCCTACTAGGTGGAGCAGCCCATGGAGTAGACATTATTGCAGTGGTTCACGTGGGATAAAGAGTATGTGGATAGCAAACTTCCATTATCTTCTCGTTGCTGCGGCTGTTATGTGCCGTGGGATTGGTTCTGAGGAACAGCTGGTGGATTTGAGCCACTGATTCTGCTGCTAACAGTCCAGTGCATGTCTTACAGTATCACACTAGGACCCCACAGAAGCCTTAGTAATATTACTATGCTCAATTTTAATCATAGATAAATGTGATAGAGTTATTAAACTGCTGCTGCTAAGATCAATGTTGTTGTTCATTTTTTTTTAAGTAGTGTCAAGTCTGTTCCGACTCATAGTGACCCTGTGTTGGGTTTCCAAGGAGCGGCTGGTGAGTTTGAAACAGTGACTTTGTGGTTCAAACCGACCTTTCAGTCCATTGCTTTATCCCAGTGCCACACACTGTTTTGTTAAGAGTTAAAATTGAGTACAAGACTCTTGACAGGTCTTAAATAGGCATCATTTTTATTAATTGGTAGTGGTTGATGAGAATGCTAGGCTGATCTGTTTTTTTCTAAATATGTGAAATTCTCATGTTAAAACTTGATGTCTTATATAATACACAAATATTTCGAAGCCCCCTTGTATAGTATGTAAACATGAATAGAAAAAATTGGAAGGAAATACTCCAATTTGTTAACAGTGATTATCCTGAGTAAAGGAGCCAAGTGGTGTGAACTCTCTGACCAAAAGGTTGGCGGTTTGAACCCATCAGTGGCCCCAAGGGAAGAAAGTCTTGCTTCCATAAGGACGGACTGCAGCCTTAGAACCCCTGTGGGACAGTTCTACTCTGACCATGAGTTGCTTCAAGCTAGTATAGACTCAACAGTGAGCTGTTGGAGCCGACTCAATGGCACTTAACAACAAACAACAGGATGATATTTGGAGTCCTGGTGTGGTGCTGTGGTTTGATGCGCTGGACCGACCACAAGATCGGTTTGAACTGCGAGGTCGGCGGTTCAGGCTCTCCAGTTGCTCCTTGGAAACCCTACACAGGGTCGCTATGAGTCAGAATCAACTCAACGGCACTTAACAACAACAGTATGATTTTTAAATCTTCATTTTTGCATTGAGAAGTTAGCTAAAGGCATGGGCAAGCCATCTATATTAAATGATACAGTAATGATTTAGTACATATGACTTCATTCAGACTTCAATTTCCAGTTTTTTTAGTAAACTCTATAAAGGTTCCTTGTTAATAGCATTCCTTTTATATTAGAGTCCTGTTTTCCTCCCTTATAAAGGAAGAAGAAAAAGGATGAGAAGGAAAAGGAGTGCTCATTGCTAATAAATGAAGAAGATTTTTCTATTAAAACTCTTTAATTCTCATAACACTATTCAGGTGTTGTTTCTGAATGCCAACAAGAGAGATCTCAACTGCAAAACCGAGAGAAGGCAATGAAAAGGTTACGTGCAAAGCTGTATAGCATGCATCTAGAAGAAGAGACAAGTAAAAGATACAATGCTAGGAAGATTCAGGTAAACTAAATTTTTGTAAGAGAGTCTAATGAAAAATATAATTTAGGAACCTACTTTTCCAGATGGAGTCCTGGTGTGGCTTTGTAGGATAAACACTGGACTACCAACTGCAAGGTTGAAGGTTCAAACCCCCCAGCTGCTCCTTGGAAACCCTACACAGGGTCAGTATGACTAGGAATTGACGCCATAGCACTTAATAATCAACAAAGTTTTCATCAACAAAGTTTTCATATACATCAAACGTATTTTAATATAACTGTTAAAATACGCAAACAATTCAAGTAGCTTATTCAAAGATTGTACTTGGATTATAGTGATCTTACCACCTAACCCTGTTTTCTTCAATTTAATGTATTTCTGTCAGACTTTGAAACATAGTTAATCAAAAATGATATGGTGATGCATTTTGAATCCTTTGAAAATTACGGATGCAAAACACCTTGGAAAGCAAATTGAAGTTCTTTTCTTCCTCTGTGGTATCTAATTTTGTTAACAACCATAGAGCCTGTTAAGAATTCCTAGTCATCCCTGAAGGGGGCCTGGTGGTGCAACAGCTAAGTCATTGATTTAGAAGAGGCCATGGAATGAGGGCTATTGTTGCTGATGTTAGTTGGATCTTGGCTGAAAGCAAAGAATACTAGAAAGTTGTTTACGTGGGTTTTATTGATTCTGTAAAGGCTTTTGACTCAGTGGGTCTTCACAAACGATCAATAACATTGCAAAAAATGTGTGTTCCAGAACACTTTATTGCCCTTATGTAGAACCTACATAAACCAAAAGGCAATCCTTGGAACAGAGCAAGGGGATACTGCATGGTTTAAATCAGGAAAGGTGTGTACCAGGGTTGTATCTTTTCCTAGTACTCATATAGATGCTGAGTTAATAATCCAAGAACTGGGTTATATGAAGAAGAAAGTGGCATCAGGATTGGAGGAAGACTCACTAACAACCTGCGATATGCAGGTGACACAACCTTGCTTGCTAGAAGTGCAGAGGACAAAATACTTAATGATGAAGGTCAAAGACTACAGTCTTTAGTAAAGATTACACCCCAATGTAAGGAAAACAAAAATTCTTACAACTGCATTAATTAAACAGCATCCTGATAAATGGAGAAATGTTTGAAGTTGTCAAGGATTTCATAGTACTTGGATCCACAATCAATGCTTATGGAAGCAGCAGTTCAGAAATCAAATGATGTGTTGCATTGGGCAAATCTGCTACAAAAATACCTTTTAAAAATGTTAACGAGCAAAGATGTCACTTTGAGGATGACACAAACTGTGGTGTTTTGAATCACCCCATATGTATGTGAGGTGTATACATAAAATTGACTCCACCTGTGGAAAGAGATGGTGGAAAAGCTCCATATCATCAAGGTCAGGGGGGAGACTCTGTTGCTCATTTCCAAGCTCAGGCTGAAGCTGGAGAAAATTAACACAAGTACACAAGAGTCAAAATATGACCTTGAACATACCTCACCAGAATTTAGACATCAACTCAAGAACAGATTTGATGCATTAGACACTAGTGATTGAAGTCCAGAAGAACTGTGAGATGACATCAAGAACATTATACAAGATGAAAGCAAAAAGTCAGAAGACAAGAAATAAGGAAAAGACCAAAATGGATGTCAGAAGAGATTCTGAAACTTTCTCTCCTGTGTAGAGATGCTAAAGCAAATGGGAAGAAGTGAGGAGGTAAAAGAACTGAACAAAAATTTTCAAAGGGAAGCTCTAGAAGACAAAGTCAGATATTGTAATGAAATGTGCAAGGACCAAAAGGGAAGAACACACTCAGCATTTCTAAAGCTGAAAGCACTGAAGAAAAATTCAAGCCTCAACTTGAAATACTAAAGGATTTTCTGGGCAAAATATTGAACGCTACAGAAAGCATCAAAAGAGGATGGGAGGAATACACAGAGATACTTTACCAAAAAGAAATGGTCAATGTTCAACCATTTCAAGAGGCAGCATATGATCACGAAATAATGGCACTGAAGGAAGAAGTCCGAGGCGGACTGAAGACATTGATAAAGAACAAGGTACTGGGGATTGATGGAATTCAAATTGAAATCTTTCAACACACTGATGTGGCACTGGAGACGCTCACTCACTCATCTGTGCCAAGAAATTTGTAAGACAGCTACTTGGCCAGATGGTTAGAAGGAATCTATATTTGTGCCCATTCCAAAGAGGTGACCCAACGGAATGTGAAAATCATTGGACAATATTGTTAATAACACATGCAAGTGAACTTTTGCTAAATGTAATTCAAAAACAGTTGTAGGAGTACATTGATAAGGAACAGCCAGAGGTTCAAGCTGGATTCAGATGAGAATGTGGAGTGATGGATATCACTGCTAACGTCAGATGGATCTTGGCTGAAAGCAGAGAATACCAGAAAGATGTTGACCTGTGATTGACAACTCAGAGGGTTTTGACTGAATGGATGATGAGAACCTCTGGACAACACTGGAGAGTGAGTGTTCCGGAACATTTAACTGTGCTCATGAGGAATCTGTGCAGAGACCAGAAGGTAGTCATTTGAACAGAACAAGGGGAAACTGAATGGTTTAAAATCAGGAAAGGTGTGCCTCAGGTTGTATTCTTTCACCATATCTATACAGTCTCTATGCTGACCAAATTTATCAGAGAAGCTGGATTATATGAAGAAGAGTGGGGCATCAGGATTGGAGGAAGACTCATTAACAACCTACGATATGCAGATGATACACAAGCTTGCTTGCTGAAAGCAAAGAGGGCTTTAAGTACTTAATGATGAAGAACAAAAAACCATATCCTTCAGTATGGTTTTTTACACCTCAGTGTAAAAAAACAAAAACAAAAGTTCTATTACAAATAATACGATAAATGGGAAAAAATTGAAGTTGTCGAAGACTTCATTTTGCTTGCTTCCACCATCAACATTCATGGAAGCAACTGCCAAGAAAGCAAAGGACACATTGGTAGATCTATTGCACAAGGCCTCTTTAAAGTATTCAAGACCAAAGATGTCAACTTGAGGACTAAGTTGTGCCTGATCAAAGTCATGGTATTTTCAGTAGCCTCATATGCCTGTGGAGCCCTGGGGTGGCACTCTGGGTTAATGCGCTAGACTACAAAGTCTTGGCAGTTCACCCTATACAGGGTGTTAGGGGTCGGAACTGACTCAGCAGCACTTAATAACTACAACATATGCATGTGAAAGTTGGACAGTAAATAAAACTGTAGAAGAATTGATGCATTTGAGTTATGGTGTTGGAGGAGAATATTGAAAGTGCCATGGGCCAACAGATCTGTGTTGGAAGAAGTGCAGCCAGAGTGCTCCATAGAAACCAGGACGGCCAAACTTTGTCTCTCATACTTTGGACATATTATCAGGAGGGACCAGTGCTTGGAGAAGGACATCATGCTTGATAAAGTGGAGGGAGGGTCGATGATAAAGAAAACCTCTAGCGAGATGGATTGGCACAGTGGCAGCAGCAGTGACTCATGTGTAATGTTTGAGTTTGACCCAGGACCAGACAGTGTTTCATTCTGTTGTGTGTATATGGTCGCTATGAGTCAGAACCAACTTACTGGTACCTAGCAACAACAACAAATATATGTGAAAGGTGGACAATGAATACGGATGATAGAAGAATTGATGATGCATTTAAATTATGGTGTTGGTAAAGAATATTGAAATGACTGTAGTCTGCCAGAAGAGCAAACAAATCTGTCTCGGAGGAAGTATAGCCAGCATGCTCCTTAGATGCGAGGACAGCGAGACTTCATCTCATGTGCTGTGGACATGTGCACCAGTCATTGGGAATGGATCTCACTCTTGGTAAAGAAGGTCAGTGAGAAAGAGGAAGACCCTCAACGAGGTAGACTGACACAGTGGCTGCAACAGTGAGCTCAGACAGAACAATTGTGAAAACCAAGCAGGACTTTGTTCCGTGCGTACAGTTGCTATAAGTCAGAGCCAAGTTGATGGGACCTCACAACCAACATCATGGAGAAATCATCCCCTTGTCAGCACTGAAGAAGCCTTGGTGTTGCAGTGGTTAAGCAGTTCAAAACCACCAGCGACTTTGTGGGGGAACAGATCGGTCGTCTGCTTCTGTAAGGATTTACAACCTTGGGACCCTGTAGGACAGTTCTAATGTCCCATCAGGTTGCTGTGAATTGGAACACCTTTACAGTAGTGGTTTGCCCCCACTGATGATAGCTTAGGTAATTCATAGATTGGATAAATTCATCCAACGTTTCATACCATATTTTTCCACAAGCGACATGTGTATTATAGTAGGTGTGTGTTTTCATGTGCATGCTGTACCATTATATTTTTTTACATGTTGATGGCTTCCATTTCCATTCCGTCTTGCTGCAAGCAGATTGAATGCAAAGTCTTTTGCTGCCTGTAGCTGCAGAAGTTGGTTCCCAACAGCACATGCTCACCCTCCACTCTGCAGTGCATCCCCCACTTGGCAGCATTGCTTCCCTGCTCTGTGAAACACTTTTCCAGTGTAGGAAGAAATCACGTTTTCTACCCAGAAACAGTACTCTACAGGGCCTCCAGCCCCAGGCCCGGTGGTGCGTGGCTTTGGGCATCCCAGACCACCCACATCCACCTCAGTGTCCTACATGCCAGCCACAGTGCCTGCGCAGACAGCGAGGAGCATGCGTCAGAGCCTGGGACCTAGAGGAGGCCCGCCCTCATCCTTCACTTGGCCAACACAGGTCCATCTGAACCCAGTGGGGTAAGGGCAGTACACATTGTGTCTCCAGGTTTCATGTGGGAGTGGCAGCAATCAGGCATGTCCTTTGAAGACTAGTCCAGGCTCAGCATTACCCTGCAGCCCGTCTAGCGCAGCATGCCCGTTCACAAACCCACTATATGAAACCGCACTGCTCAGACCTAGCCACGATCTGCCCCAGAGCAAGCACATAGCTTCAGCACACAGAGTTTCCAATTACCAGGTGCTGCCAAACTCAGCCTGGTCTGGCACTCTGAGATAATGAGCTGGACCATGAGGTCAGTGGTTCAACCTATACAAGGTCACTATGAGCTGGAACCAACTCAGTGGTAGTTAACAGCAACAACCAAACTCAGCCCGTGATTTCTTAATCATGACTTACACCTGTATAGGAGTCCTGGTATGGTGCTGTTGGTTAAGCTGCTAACTGCAGGGTTTGTGGTTCAAACCCAGCAACCACTCATTGAAAACCCTATATAGGGTTGCTAGGAGGCTGAACCCACTTGAAAACTCTTAACAGCATGCCGGTATTACACAAATATAATCCAAAGTCAGCATTCTCAGACTGCTGAATGGGGTTGAGTCACTTCTCGGACACATCACGAAACGCAGCGCATGGTCCCAGAACTGGTCTACACAGCTGCTATCACTGATCCCGTTCTGTTTGTGCCAGGGTAGGTGCTACTGTTTGTACTTTGCAGATGGGGAAACTAACATTTAGACGTTGACGTACATTTCCTTAAGCCCTGGAGCTTTGAAGTGGCAGAGATGGAACTCAGAGACTCACTTGTCTCACTTGAAAGCTCATGTTTTTTTCTTGTTGCGTTTCCATGTCGTTTGAGGATTGAAAGTGTTTAAAGCTTGGTTCTTGCGTTGTGTTTCATAATTTAAGTCAAGAATGTAACCGCTGGATGGTTAAATTTGTCAGTGTAGGTTGCCCTGTATCTAACAGTCTTTCCTATTTTTTTTTTTTTTTAATATATATATAGATTGGAACTAAAGGAAGATCAGAGAAAATAAGAACATACAATTTTCCACAGAATCGGGTCACAGACCACAGAATAAACAAGTCACTGCATGATCTTGAAACTTTTATGCAAGGGGAGGATCTGTTGGATGAACTTGTACAGTCCCTGGCGGAATACTCCAACTATGAAGCCTTAGTAGAAGCTATTTCCCAAAAAGCTTAAATTCACTTGTCATTAAAGCCACTTGAACTTGCAAAACAGTTACTATGTTGTGTGTAAGCGTTCACCAATATTCTCTTAGAAACATGGGCTGATACAGTTTGATTGTATGCATATTTTCATGACATTTATTTATATAAATATCTGAATGAATCAGGACTGGTCTAAAAGAAATTAGTCCTTTGTTTTTTATAAAATATTTTAATGAATGATTACAAATTTGATTTGCTGTAGCTTTCAACCAAGGACAACTTCAAACAGGAAGGACCACGGGCATATGACAATAAGCACATTAGTCAGGGTCCAGTCAGGAAACTGAAACCACACCAGTGATTTGCATTAACAGTCCCTAGATGCTGCAAACGGTTAATGCACTTGGCTCCAAACAAAGGCAGGAGGTTTGAGTGCACCCAGCAGCGCCTATGAAGAAAGGCCTGGTGATCTACTGAGAGTGGACCAGCCAGTGAAAACGGTGAGGAGCGCAGTTCTGCTCTGAAGTACGTGACTCAATGGCAACTGGTGTACTGGTAACTATGAACATGCAGAGTAATGAACAAGTCCTGGGTTGTGGACTGACAGTAGCCTCATTGACTCATTTACCTAGGTAGTCCTAGACTGTTGTGCAGAGCCCCCGAGCTGATTCTGACTCATAGAGACCCTGCCCACGGTTTCCAAGGTTGAAGTCTCTTGAGCTGCTGATGAGCTTGAACCGCCAACCTTGTAGTTCTCAGGCCAGTGTTAATCCTGCAGAGCCTCACAATTTAGGGGTCAGAAGGTCCAATTCAGAGTACCAGCTCCGGGGTCCTCGTCTTTGTCTCCGTTCAGCATCTAACTCCAGTCAGGGGGCTGCTTATTCTGAATTGTCATGGAGTCAGTTTCAACTCCGTGATCCTGGATAGGGTTTCTTGGGAACAGCTGGTGGGTTGAACCACCAGTCTTGTGGTTAGCAGTCCAGTGCTTATCCTATAGTGCCACACCAGGTAAAAGTTGTTAGGTGCTGTTGAGTTGGTTCCAACTCAGTGACCCTGTATAGGGTTTCTGAGGAGCAGCTGGTGGGTTTGAACCACCAACCTTGTGGTTAACAGTCTAGTGCCACACCAGGACTAATTCCTGCTATGGAGCCTACTGGGACCTTGAAGTTTTGTAGACATATAATGTAGACATAATAAGCTATCTACACAGCTCTAAGTTAGAACCCGTGTGCTTGTCACTGCTCCCTACCTCTTAAGGCCTACAAAAGAGACCTTAACACCTGTGCTATTAGATTGCAGGGTCCAATCTAACAGTACCCAGTCCTAAGGCACAGTAAACTTCTCTGGCATTTATATTCCCACAGCGCATCACCACACCTGACAGACAAGGTGTCAGAGCATTTACCTCTACGTGACTAACCCCGAGGTCTATGGTTCAAACCCACCAACCACTCCTTGGAAACCCTATACACAGTCACGAGTCGGAACCAACTCGTTGGCACCAAACAACAACGCAGTAAACGGACTGGATTGCTTCCATGTCAAGACTGTTTGCTAAGGAGTGAGTGGAAGATGATGGGTCAGGCAGTGGTGCTGTTGAGCGCTATGGAGCCGGTTCCAACCCATAGCGACTGTATAAGGTTTCCAAGGAGCAGCTGGTGGGTTTGAACCGCTGACTTTGTTGTTAACAGCCCAGTGTTTCTCTTACATCGTCACACCCAGAGTCCAGCGTCAAGCAGAATGAACAAATACAATAAATTTTACATTTAATCTAATGACAGAGTTCTGAACTCATCCCTTAAGTACTTAACAGAGCACCGTAGATAAGCACTGACAACAAGGTCAGCGGTTCAAATCCACCAGCCGCTCCTTAAAAACCCTATACTGGGTCACGGACAGCACTTAACAAGTACGCCACATGCTATCTATCATAGGCACTGAATGAAGTCTAATGGGCAGTTATAGTTAATGTATTTATAAGTAAATCTGGTCTATTCAGAAAACTGCAAAAGTGAACATTTCAAAAGGTCATTCAGCATCAAAATTATTTTAACATTCAGCTAGAATGGCTATTTTGAAAATGTATAATTACTATTTTATACAAAACTTGGCATATTCCTCTATAATTGTTTCTCATAATGTCATCTGTTTCTTTTTATGGCACAATGTTAAGTGCCATTGAGTCAGCTTCACCTCCTAATGACCCTGTATAGGGTTTTTAGGGAGTGGCTGCTGGGTTTGAACTGTCAACCTTGAGTCAAGTGCTTATCCTGCAGCACCACACCAGGACTCCGATTCTTCATCCTCACATTGAGTTTATTGCTAATTCCTACTTTCCTATTTATAAACACTATAGCTTCTCCAACTCCGTTTCGCCCGCCTTCTCCTGCTCTGCTACACTTCACTACATGTAAGTAACCAGATTCATCTTCTGAAAAAGCCGCCTTCTGACCCTGCCCTTCCTTGGTCAACAACTTAACAGGCTACCTCTCAATCAGAACCCCAACTCTTCATTATGCATCAAGACTACACTTTTGATCTGTAGCCAGCATAATTTTTTTTTGTTTGTTTAATTTAAGGTTTTTATTGTGGATTGAGTGAAAGTTTACAGGGCACATCATCAGTTTCACATTCAACAATTCATATAACTTGTTTCATTACATTGATTATAATCCCCTCCATATACCATCAGTTAAAAGTATTTCTCTTTATCCACTTGAGCTTTTTTTAAAAAACACACAAACAAAAAAACCCACTCAGGCATATATAATAAATTACATCTCCAAAGGGCACATTCTGCAATTCTGCCTGGCCACCAGCTCTTAGTCCTTCTTTTCTTAGTTGATGAATCTAGAGTCCTCAGCCGCTCCCCTTCTCCATGCCCCCATCTCTGACTCCATCTCTGGCGCTGCTGCTTCTCTGGATAAGGTCCCGCATTCTATTTGTGTGTTCCGCCAGCATAATTTTTTTTTTAGCCCATTTCACACCCTTCATGCACCAGACTGCAAAGCCGTTTGAACTACAAGGTCGGTGGTTGAAGCTCACCAGCTGCTCCTTGGAAACCATATACAGGGTCACTACGGGTTGGAACGGACTCGACAGCACTTAACAACAATATATAGGTGTCCTGGTGTGGCAATGCAGGATAATGTGCTAGACCACAGGTCAGTTTGATCTCAAAGTCGATGGTTCAAACTCACCAACCACTCCCTGGAAATCTATATAGGGTTGCTATGGGTCAGAACCTATTCAACAACACTCAACAGCAACAAATCACATCATACGAAGTTTTCCTAATATACTGCTTGGTTGGTTATGTGCCATGGAGTCAGTTCCAACTCAGCGACCCTGTATAGGGTTTCCGAGGCTGTAAATCTTTATGGGAGCAGAAAGCCTCGTCTTTCTCCCTCAGAACCACTGGTAGTTTCTAACTGCTGACCTTGAAGTTAGCAGCCCAACTCGCAACCTCTACGCTACCAGAGCCCCTTTCCTAATACATACACCTTGCATTTAAGCCTTCCCTCATTTTGTTCCTTTGTCCCTCCTCCCCGTTCCATCAAAAAGACAACCTCTACAGTAGTGTATGTGGTGATAATGTCCCCCTATAGAGACACATGGAGAAAGTTGTCACAACGGAGAGAAACAGAGGCCAGAGATGTTGCCCCATGTACAGCACAACTGCCCACAACACGTCTGGCCCAAAGTGCCAACAGGACCGAAGCTGAGACCCTGTGTGGCTGATCTGCTTATCCTGGCATAGTGATGTGGCTCTTTGTTCTCTGGAAACCATCAATGCCACTTTAGGTATAGGTGGCACTTAAGTACTCCATTCCAGCCCATTGTACGCCTCGTTCCCTCCCACTACCGCTCCAGTGGTCTGTTACTAACAATTTACTGAGCACCTATTAAGTGGCAGTCACCATGCTAAGCATTTCCATAAATTTCTGAATGTCTTAAATGTAGGTATCCCTAAGAATCTAAATAAGAGGAATGCTCTCTGCAATTCATTTTGAACCTAACAACCAGGGGCAGATTACCCAATATGCAAAACCCAGTAATCATGGCTTTACTGATGCTTCCTTACTGATCTGTAGAGTAAAATTTCACATGAAATTGTTTGCTACAGAAAAGTAAGCAAGTCAGACCTGAGCTTGCCTTACCTCTGTCCCTGTGAGGGATTAGAAATCTGAGGAGACTGATGCTGTAGCAAGTTGCTATGGGGTGTGGAGAGAGCCAAATGCAAATCACCCCTACCAGAAGATTTTTGATGCAAAAAAATGTGAACTTATACACTGCACATTAGTGAATAAGCACAAGTAAGCCCGTGCTTACCTCGTTTACTAAGTAAATAAGCATTGCTAATAAGTTAAAGATCTGGAGTCAGAAAACCCAAAGGGACAAACATGCTCATCATTTCTCAAGCTAGGGAAACTGAAGAAAATATTCAAGCCTTGACTTTCGTTATTGAAAGATTCTCTGGGCCAATTACTGAATGATGCAGAAAGCATCAAGAGAAGATGGAAGGAATACACACAGTCACTCTACCGAAAGGAAATGGTTAATGTTCAACTGTTTCAAGAGGTAGCATATGATCAAGAGCCAATGATACTGAAGGAGGATGTCCAAGGTGCATTGAAGGAATTGGCAAAGAACATGGCACCAGGAATTGATGGAATTAAAATAGAAATTTTTCAAGAAAGTGAGATAGCACAGGAGGCCCTCATCTCTGCCAAGAAATTTGGAAGACAACTATCTGGCCAACTGATTCTAAGAGAACTTTATTTGTTCCCATTCCAAAAGAGAGGTGATCCAACAGAATGCAGACATCATTGGACAATCTCTTTGATATCCCATTCAAGTAAAGTTTTAAGGTAATACAGAAATGGCTGCAAGCATACATTGACAGAGAACTTCCAGAGGTTCAAGCTAGATTCATAAGAGGCTGTGGAACGAGAGATATCATTGCTAATGTATGATGGATATTGGCTGAAAGCAGAGAATATCAGAAAGATGTTTACCTGCTTTGCTGAC